GGGGGGGGGGGGGGGTCCACATGTCCTAGAACTTGAAGAGCGAGTCCTCATTCGATAAGTGATGTATGAACATTACTTAGGGGTGGGGTGGGTAGAGAGAGGCAGCCGAAAAGATACTCGGTAACTACTGAAGATTGGTAAAATTCAAAGTATATATTACCATTACCTCTTCATGTTTGTCAGTTCAACGATATCATTATTGCTGTATTTCGTTATTATGAAGTTTATTTATGTTTATGGTCTGCACATTAAATAGGTCTGTCAGGATGCCATGGTTCCTGACCTGTTGATTTTTCCACCGAGGACTGACCTGCATGATCATCCTTTGGTGAAAAGTGGAAGTGTGTTTTTGCAGGTGCAAAATTCTCTTTTCTTTTCTTAGATCTGGAATTTTAATGCGAATACAATTAAGGAGTTTTTTAGTATGCAATCCTCCCCCTCTTTTGGGTTCTATTCTATCTTGCATTGACATCCAATTAATGTCCTTGTTCCACTAGGGTAAGGCGAGTTCCATGGTTGCAGTTGCTCTTGGGCCTAAACCCGGATGGGAGGTAATTAATTACATGGAAAAAGAGTTGTTAGGTGTTCTCTTGATTTTCATTTACCACTTGGTTGTTCATGATTGCTTATTTTCTTGTGAAGGTCATTGATGCATGTGCAGCACCAGGGAACAAAACTGTTCATCTTGCTGCTCTAATAAAGGGAAAAGGAGAGATAATAGCTTGTGAACTTAATAAAGAAAGGGTTAAACGTCTGAAAGACACTGTTAAACTGGCTGGAGCAACTAGTATCCTTTTAGCGGCTTTCTAGTATCCTGTCCATCTTACCACATATGATTGCTCCGCAGCAAATTTGACCATCGCTTGATTTCCAGATGGACTACCTAAAGTGTATTGGAAGTCCTTAAAACTGTGTGCTTCTGTCCTTTTTAATTTTTTTGGTTTATATTGTCCCCATATTTAAATAATTCCCTAAATCTCGCACTTATTCAGTCAAACTGGCTGAAGTTATTAGTTTTTTACGGCTCTCAACTTTTAATACCATAAGCACCATTCTGCACTCGGTGTCTGAAGTTTATTTTTGAGGAAATATGACTTTTAACTTTATTCCTACATGGATTTCCTGTGGTAATCATGTATCAGAAGCATTTTGAAACTCATGAATCTTTAGTTGTTTCAATTCCCACTTTCAAATAATTCCTAAAACCATTTAGTTATATGATATTTCGTCTAATTGGGTTTTGTTTGTTTTCAACTTTGTATACCGTAATAAGCCCCGATAACTTAACTTATCCTAAGACGTGAAAGTCAAGCATGAGGACTTCTTAAACATGAGTTCTGAGGATCCAGCATACTCAAAGGTAAACATGCGAGACACTTTTTTTTGGGGGGAATGAAGTGTTGTCGATTGTTAGATATTACCAACTTACCAAATGTCATCTTTTACTTCCTGTCCAGTTAATCAATCTATTATACTTGCAGCACTGGAGTGAAGTAATGGGTTGGCCTAATACAAACATGATTTGACTTATTAATCATTAAGAAAGTTCTGCGGTATAGATTGTAAAGCATCTGATATATTATAGAATTGATGGATGCTAGTTTGTAGAGCAATATAAATTTTACTGATGTGATGTGACATTGCTCATATGAGGAGTATTTGTGACGATGAACCCTTTTGTACTCGCCTCTCTGCCCTTCGAGGGGTAGGGTAATGCTGCGTACATCTTACTCTCCCCAGACCCCACTTGTGGGAAACTACTGGGTTTGTTGTTGTTGTTGTTGAACCCTTTTGTACTCGCCTCTCTGCCCTTCGAGGGGTAGGGTAATGCTGCGTACATCTTACTCTCCCCAGACCCCACTTGTGGGAAACTACTGGGTTTGTTGTTGTTGTTGTTGAACCCTTTTGTACTCCAAGATGCAAGTTTAAATGGGACTAGAGCTGAAGGATCCTAAACGAGTACCTAAAGCTTAGTTGATAAAAGGAGGAAGGAGAGTTCTGATATCTTTTGACACTTATATGCATAAAATTGCACCATGTTTCCAGTTACCTATTAAGACGATTTAAAAAAATTCCAAAAGTTTGTAAGCACATAGTCCTTTTCTTTTTTCTGTACCGGAGGATTCTGACACAATGTCGAATAGACAACAGATAGGAGAGGACGACAAGGTTTCCTCAGGTATGAGTTGGACATACTTTGACCAACACGATAAAGCCTTTGATTGTTAATTGTTAATTTTTCTAAAAGACACTTAAAATATAGGCATATGACTTTAGTGTGTTACACCAGAACAAGCAGCAAAAAAGAAAAAATCCTTCCTGTTTCTGGACAGTGTGGAAAAGGATATCAGTTAGTGCTTGTTATACAGTGATCTAGCCATCAAGATGGATCTTTGATCTGGGGTAATGCTGGTTTTGCTCTAATTAATGTTCCTGCCGAGTGACAGTTTTACTCGTGCACAGAAAAAGTAAGGGAAAAATTGACAAAGTACCAGTTATATATATTTAGCAAGCATGGTTTCAATTTTGTAACCCTCCGTTTCCTGTTTGGAGTTTTTGAGTGGAATTTTAGTAACACATAAACCCGACTCCAGGTTCAAGCAATACTTTTAGATCCATCATGTTCTGGATCTGGGACAGTTGTTGATAGATTGGATCATCTGCTCCCCTCATATACTGCAGGTGACTTTGCTCATCCTGTATTCATTGTTTATTTCTCTTTGTGTAACGAACCTTTCACTTATCTCCTTTTTAACAATTTTTTCTGGAAAAGCTTTGCAGATTCCTCTGATGTAAATAGACTCGAAAAGCTTGCTGCTTTCCAGAAAAAGGCTTTGGAACATGCATTATCTTGTGAGATTTATGCTATCCTTTTTTTTTTTGGCCACAAATTGCAAGTCCATGTATGTTATATTTGTGCGACTGAATGGATTTATCTTCTCATCTTGATGTAGTTCCAGCTGTTGAGAGAATTGTTTACAGCACATGTTCTATTAACCAAGTTGAGAATGAAGATGTCATCAACTCTGTTCTGCCTCTTGCTTCTTCTTATGGGTTTGAACTGACGACAGTCTTTCCCCAATGGCCTCGCCGAGGTCATCCAGTTTTTGATGGATGTGAGTGATTTTCAGCTGAATGCTTTATCATCTCTCAAATATCATCATCGTCAAGTTTTAGTTTAGTTCATATCTCTAGAGCTTCGTTATAGGCGCCTACCTGACCCTAGTCCTCAGGATCAACCCCCCTTCCAAAACTTGGTCAAAGTAGAAAAACAAAGAAAGTGCACAGTCGAAAGAAAGAATATTTATTCTTCTTATGGTTTCAAATGCTCTGAGCATTCCAGGCATCATATATTTTTGTATTCAATTGCTAATAGTCTAAGCCAGATTTTGTAGGTTAGCTGAAACTGTAGCAATTATATACTTTCAGAGGTTACACATCTTTTATCTTCAGAAGCCCAACATGTCATTTAGCAGAAGATTAGACTAATGTTATAGTACTTTCAATACACACGTCTTGTATATATAGTATTTGCTTCTCACTAAAGGCAACAGGAAATCATGTATGTATATGAGATTCCTAGATATATGTAATACCATTCTGTAGAACAGCTCAGTTTCTTTTAGAAACTAGATTCCTGTTTTGGGCTGGTAAATTCTGGATTTTCCTGCACGTAACTTGTCTTGAATGTCTAATTTAGCCCTTATTGTTCTTTATTGTTACCTAGATATTGTGCAGTGTTGGAAACTGGACTCTTCGGGTGTGTGTTTATGTTCATTTTTCTTATTTTTTCGCAGCTCAACATTTGCTGAGAACGGATCTCATAGAGGACAAGGAGGGCTTCTTTATTGCTTTATTTGTTAGAAAGGGAGTGAGCACTCCAGCCAAGCACACCAGAGATGTTGAAAACACATTACGAGCTATTCAACGAAGGAAGAAAAGAAGACTAAATTCTTTCTTCCTCTTGAAAACTTTCGGTTTGTTCTTGCAGTCCTAGTTTTACTTCTTTCAAACAGGCAATTCACAAATGATAAAATCCTAGAGACAATTACCAGAAGTTTTGTCCAGATGAGAATGTAGTTTTTGCCGAAGTTTTGTTTTTCCATTTTCAGGTTTCTAATTGCCTACTGAACAGTTATATGGTAAAAACTTACCCGCAATTAGGGGTGGCATGTGGGCCGGTTAGGACCTGGACCGGCCCAGGGCCGCAAGACCACATGGGTGGTGGGCCGGTCTCATAGGGGAGACCCGCGAGACCGGGACCGTTTAGGAGCGGGACCGGCTCAGAAGTGGACCGGTTCAAGCGGTCCTAAACGGGCCCAACGGATAATTTTTTTTTTAAAAAAATTTGACCGTTTGGCCATTTAAAAACTAGTCGTTTGGTCTGTCAAAATAGCCGTTGGCTATTTGCAAAATAGCCATTTAACCCCCCAAATTTTGTTTTAACCCCAAACTTTTTATAATTACACTTTTCCCCTATTTTCAACTATAAATATCCCCTTATTCTTTCGTTTTTCTCACAAAATCATCAATCTCTCTCAACCTATCTCTAATATTCTTCTATAATTGCTTACTTAATTGTTACAATTTGTGTAAAATTGTAAAGTTGGTGAATTGAAGTCTTCAAGTCTTCAATGATAATTATTTTTTAACAAGTTGTTCGTCAATTCGGTAAACTCGTTCCAACTTTTAAGTTTTAATATTATAGTTTTGTTTGTTTTATTTACTTTGCTTGATTAATTAAGATGGCTTATTCCTTAAAAAAATGTTTAGTAAAAATAAGGAAAAATCCAAGAGTGATGAATCTAGTGGCCAATCTATTCCTCCTCCACTTCCCTCGGCTCCCCGGTCCAAACCTGTTACCCGTCCTACACCTATTCTTGATAGCGATAATAGTTTATTACAATTTACCGAGAGTCAATTTTGCCATAATATTGTACCCGGTGAACAATTAAACCATGAATATATGAATGCTCTTTATGGTAATCCAACTATTGATGAAAATGATGATGAAGAAATAGATTTTGATGAAACGCAACCGGATGATGATACACCCACTAGTCCTGCTCCTGAAGTTAACCTAACTAATAATAATCCAAATGATCCCCCGTCTGACCCTCATGTTACTGCCCCTACTTTTTCTAGACAATCTTCTAAACGGGCAGAAACATCTCTTGTTTGGCCATTTTTTACTCAACTAAGAGAAAAAAATAGGGCTAAGTGTAAAACTTGTGACAAAGAGTTAGTTTTTAAATATGTTGGAAGTCGGGGAGGGACGAGAAGTTGGACTAGATACATATTGCTACACCCTCAAGATAAAGCTAGATATTTTCGTATGAAAACTTTGACCGAGGGGACAAGTGCACCTAGTCAGGTTGACTTTAGTACCGGGTCAAATCAATTTCAAACGGGAATTAACACTGTTACCGGTGATATTTTATATTATGATCCAAAAAAAGATCGGGAAGAATTGGCAAAAATGGTTACTGTTATGTGCTTACCCTATAGTTTTCCTTCTGACCCTCACTTTGTGCATTATATTAGAAAAGTTTATAATCCTACTTATAAAGGTTTTCCTTGCACAACCGTAAAGAGTGATATTTATAAATATAAACATGAATATGAACAATATTTGCGCTATTTATTTACTCATATAAATTGTCGTGTTGCTATTACAACTGATATTGGTAGAAGTGGTAATGACTGTGATTACCTTACTGTTACCAGTCATTGGATTGATGAGCATTGGATAATGCAAAAGCGCATTATTGCTTATAGAATAATTAATTCACGTCACACAGGGCAGTTTATTTCTAGCACGATTACGGATATTTGTAGATATTTTTGCATTAGTGATAAAATAATGTCAGTTTCAATGGATAATGCTACTAGTAACACAAATGTTGTAGCCTTGCTTACCACTACACTAAGTCCTGCATTTAGTAACATTTTTCATGTTAGATGTATTTGTCATATTTACCATTTAATTGTGGGTGATGGTATGCGAATTTTAAATGTTGAAATTGAAAAGGTTAAAATGGCTCTTAATTGGCTTTTTTATTCAAACCGTAGAAGTAGACTTAGAGAATATTTTAAAAGATGCGATGAATTTGGCCTAAGAGAAAGAAAGGTTCCTAAACCTTGTCCAACTAGATGGAATTACATGTATGAAAGTTTAGTTGTTGCATATGAATATAGAAACCCCATAAACTCAACGTTTAATACTCATGTAAGTGATGATGATGGGCACCTTACAAATGCGGATTGAGCTAATGTTAAAATGCTTGTAGATTTTTTAGAAAAATTTTATATTGCTACAAATGAATTTTCTGGGCAATATTATCCTACTATTTCTAACTGTTTAGTTTATATTGCAGAACTTGCAAATTTGTTTGATCATTTTTTAGAGGGTGGGGAAATTTATCAACTTGCTATTGATTCCATTAGAAAAAAATTTTAAAAATATTTTTTCCCTATTTCCCCTATTTATGGTGTTGCTGCATTGTTAAATCATACTATGAAATTAGGAGGTCCTCAATTTTGGTATGAAACTGTTTATAATGGTTTAGCACTTGAAGATGAGGAGTTGTCTACACTTGCGGACGCAATAGCCTCAATTAAAATAAATGTCCAAACTATTTATAATGCTTATCAAGTTGCATTAGATCATGCTAGACCAAATGTTCCAACTCCTTCTTCTAGTTCTCAATCATCTAAAAGAACTGCGGGAGTAAGAGCACTTAGTGCTTGGGCAGGGTTCATGGGTTCTCAAGATTCTAGTACTAGTAATTTTTCACAACTAAATGAGTTTGAAATTTATTTGTCACAGGGAATTGAGGAAGTGAATCCCGACGGCTCCTTTAATATTTTGG